ATGGGTTTACTTGCAAGCTTTTTTTATAGACAATTTTATTTAAAAATAATGAATATGTTTGTAACTTAATATTTATATAAATTTTATTTTCTAATCAAAAGAAAATTCAAATTAAATAATAAATAATTTTACTTTTGATTAGGAGATGAACTACATCTAATATAATGAATATATCCCAGCTAGGCTGACACTTACTCACTTATCTATCATTTGTATTATTCTACCATTTTAAAACTTGTATGCTTAATACATGAAAAAGAAAATAATATATTATTTATAGTATTTAAATTTTTAAAATTACAAATTCTGACATTGGAAGACTTATTTCAAAGTTTTAAATTTAATGGTTAAACATATAACATTTTTTCAAATAAAGGATGGGTGGGCTCTTGGGCCAAGTTTTTATGAGTTCTTTCGTGCAGATTATTGGGCCAGGCTTTGGGCCAAGTAATGGATTTTTGGGTAAACCTAATCCTTCTTTTTAAGGCTATAGGGCTCAAGTTTGGGTAAGTCAACCATCAGACTTATCTAATTTTAGGCCTATTTTTTCAGCCTGGGTAATAGGACTCGTGGGTAACCCGGTCCATGGACACCCCTAGGTGGTGGTAGGGATAGTGGTAGCAATGGTGATGGTGGTGGTAGGGCGGTGGGGGAAGTGGGTGTGGTGGTGGTGATGGGGGTGGCAATAATGTTGGTTATTGTGGTAGAGGCAGTGGTGTACTAGTGGTGGTGGTGGTAGTGGGATAATTTCAAATGCTATTTTTTAAAAATATTTATGAAAAGTTATAAGTTTTAAAAATACTATTAAAAAGTTATCTCAAACACATTCTTAAATGTTTATTTTTCCTATTAAATTTAGGATGTTAGTATTAGTTGTCAAATTAACTTTAAAATAAAATTTGAAGAGATATTAATTGCGAAAAGTAAAAATCATTTTGTTTATCTTTTGATATTTAAATTATATTGTACTTTATTATATACCAGTTATTTCTTGTGCATTAAGGTATGGAGTAATAAAAATTGATAATAATAAACAAATTTGTATTCATACCCAAAATCAAATTACAAAGATTGAGGGATAGAAAGAAATTTAAGCATCGATTGTAATGGGGGCAATTGGTAATAATGATGATTGTGGTGGATGACAACGACCATTACTAATGGTGACAATAGTGGGTGGCAACGGTAATAATGGGTGGGGGGGCTGTAGGGGTAGTGGTGGTAGAAGTGGTAGTGAGAATATGACGATAATGGTAATGTGGCGGCAACGGTGGTGATGGTAAGGGTGATGGTGACAGTGGTAATAAATATAAGAATAAGATGACGATAGTAGTAGAGGATGGTGTGGGGGTAATGAGGATGATGGTGGTAAGGTGGCGGTAACAATGGTAATGATAGTGATGGTGATAGTGGGGGCGGTGATAGTAGGAATGATGGTGGTAGGGCGATGGGGAGTGATGGTAGAGTGACGGCAATGGTGATGATTTTTGTAGAAGAGGTGGTGGTGGAGGGGTGGCGACAACATTGCTGGTGGTGGGGCAATGAGTAGTGGTGGTGGTGGGGGTGGCGACAGTGGTGTGGCAACGACGATAGTGGTAGTTGTTATTATAGCAGAGATGGTGGTTGTGTGGTGGCGGCAATAGTGGTGGTGGTAATGTTGATTGTAGTGGGGCGGTTTCAAACGCCACTTTTAAAAAAAAAAAAAATACGTATGAGAAGTTATTAGCTCTAGAAGTACTTTTAAAAAATTACTGTAAATACACATTTAGTACCCTATTTTTCTTATTAAATTTGATGTGTTAATATTAACTGTCAGATTAACTTTAAAATAAAATTTTAAAACGATCTTAATTACAAAAAAACAAAAGTTCTTTTGTTTATCTTTTTGATGTTTGAATTGTATTGTACTTTATTATATAGATATTTACATGTTTGGGTAAGATCGAATTTGATTGAGGTGCCCGTAATAACCATTATGTCATAATTCAAAAACATAAAATACCCGCAAGATTTTATTTCAGTTAACGTAATTCAAGATTTGGATCATCTTACATCCAAATTTTTATTAATGTTAACCAAATTTAATCGTATAATTTTAGATTAACCTGAACCTACTAAATTGAATTGGATTGAATCAAGCAAGAATACATAGTGGGTGAAAATGTATATAAACATAGAGTGGGATTATGAAACTAGTTGCATTGTTGTACATAAATTTATAATTTTTATAATTATAATCCATTCGGAGTTAAATTATAACTTAAAAAACATGAGTTCTAGGTGGTTAAAAAAAAAACAATTGAGTGAAAAAAAATATAAGATCAATCCTAAAATAATAGAATCGATTTTAAAATATTAAAATTAATATTAAAAATGTCTGATTTTATTTTACTGTTAGAAGATTGAATACCTTTATTTTACGATAATATTGACTATAGTATAAAAATAAAAATAAAAATAAAAAAAGTAGGTTCTTTCTACTTTTTTTTACTCTTTTATTTTTTGGACTAATCTCACTTTATACCCCTAAAAAAATATTTTGATTATTAATTTGTACCCTTAAACATTAAAAATTTTAATTTATACCCTCAATGTTATGAATTGATAGTAATGCGGACTTGGTCCAGACTCTCATTCAGTTTTTTGTCATAAATTGAAACACCTAGTGTAAGTGTATCAGGCATAATAATAATGTATGTCTATCGCTATAGATCCTCGTCTGTAATTAATTTTGACATATTTGTTATTAAAAATAAGATTTCATTAATCAATCTTATCATGTGCAATTCACATGAAGTGTCAATATTTTATGAATTTATACATAAGCCCTTATTCAAAACACTTGCAATTCATGTACTTTAATTTATGGATAAAATTGAATGTTAGTTTGGATCAAGTCTGCATTTCTATAGATTCATAACATTGAGAATGTAAATAAATTTTTTTTAATGTTGAGGGGTATAAATTAAGAATTTAAGTACCTGTCATGTGCACCTGAAGTTTGTCACTTAATTACTGTGACTCTCTAACATTTAAAATATTACACACATACTCTCTAAGGTTTGTACTTGCGTAATACTTAGACCCCTGCTGTAAATATATTTATTAATAAATTACACTTAAATCCCCATAAAGTTTGTAGGTATATAATACATACACCCCTTAAATTTAAAATATTATACTTATATAAAAAATACTCCAATCAAATATAGAATATTAAATATTTTAAATTTTATAACAAAAATTCATGTTCTATTGTATTATTTATTGAAATAAAATTAAAATTAAAATTTTATTTTTTTCTTAAAAAATCATAATTAGTATACAATTATACTATCTATTGGAATAAAACTAAATTGTCAAACAAGAGGTCTACTAGAACATGAATTTTACATCTAAAATTCATGTTCTATTATTTCATTTATTGAAATAAAATCAAAAATAAAAGTTTAGTTTTTTTTAAAAAATTATAGTCAGTATATAATTATATTATCTATTAAAATAAAACTAAAAATATAAATAAATGGTCAAATTGTAGTGAACACAATATCTTTTAATTTTAATTTGGGTAGTTTGGTATTTAATTTAGTTGTTTAAACGACCAAATTTAATTCTAATAGACAATATAATTGTAAACTAATTATGATATTTTAAGAAAAAAATTAAATTTTTATTTTTGATTTTATTTCAATAAATGATACATTTGTAAAATTTAAAATATTTGATATTTTATCTTTGATTGAAGCATTTTTAGTCTAAGTATAATATTTTTAAACTTAAGGATCTAAGTATTATATACTTACAAACTTTAAGGGGGTTTAAGTGTAATTTATTAAATGATATATTTACATCAGGGGTTTAAGTGTTACGCGTGTATAAATTTTAGGGGGTCTGTGTGTAATATTTTAAATATCAGTGGATCTGAGTGATTAAGTGATAAACTTTATGAGGTCTAGGTGTAATTATCTTTTTTTTTTATTAGAAAAAAGTATTTTTCATGTGCAAAATGAGATTAGCTAGGGGTCGATCGTGTCGTGTCGTGTCACTTTCGATACGTGTCGGGTTCATGTCAATATTCGTATTAATAAAAAATTATTTAATTCAATAATAACTCATATAATTCTATAAAATTTTTATTTTCTGTCTACATTATTCATTAAATAATTATTTTTTTATCTATAATACCTATTAATCGTGTTATTTGTGTCTAATCTTAATTTGACCAATTTATTACTTATATCAACTAATCGTGTCATTTTCAAGTTTTGTGTTTGATCTATTTCGTGTGAACGGATAAAATTGACAATGCTATGATTAGGCCTCTTTTTTCTTCTTTTTTTTTTTCCATAAAGGACCTAAAGAAAAGTTGAAATTAAGAGTGCAATTCGCGCGGGTTGGGTGGGTCGGACAATCAACCTTAATCCAACCCTAGGTATATAATTTTCAACTCTAATCCTACCTTGGGTTGGGAAACTCAACCCAAACACTGTCCGAGTTTAATTCGAGTGAGCTCGGGTTGAATTTGGGTTGATGATTTCAGGTTACTTTACGGAGTTCAATTTGGGTAGAGCCCAAAATAGATTTATTGTTTTAAACTTAATACATATATTATATAATATTCACTTAAATTAACAAACCAGTAACTTCAACGAAGTTTTAAACGAGAGAGACTGAGAGAACGAGAGAGACAAAGAGAACGAGAGAGACAAAGAACGATAGAACAAAAATGAAAAATTAGTGCTAATGCTATTTATATATATATAATTTTGTTTTTTAATTTGTTAGGTTCGGGTTGAACTCGGGTTCACGATGCCTTAACCTGAGGTCAACCCAAATAAAATTTGGGTTAGAATTTTTTGACCCAAATTCAACCAAAATATTAAAAATTCTTGTCAAAATCTTAATTTTTTCGAATTGAGCTCGAATTAAAATCGGGTTAACCAACCCAAATTGCACCCAGTTGAAATTGAAGATTCGGATCGTAGCCGCTTTACTTGATACTTTACCTTCGTCTCTCTCTCTCTCTCTCTCTCTCTATCTCCGTTGCCCATCTCAGGGTTTGATTTCTTCGATTGTAAAGACAAATCAAACTTATTCCAGCATTCATCGAAGGTAAGCCGAGTTTCCTTTAAATTTCTTTCAAACAATGTTTTGCAAGTTAGTTGTTTTGGCTACATGGTGGATTTACTGTACAAGTGAAATGAACATTCATGTTTCTTTCCAATTCGAATTCCGATCTGTTCTCAGATATTGTGATTTGAAAAGTCGACGACTTCGTTGTTTACCATGAATGAATTCTTGTTAAGGGATCATCTTTAATTAACCAGAAAAATTTTAAATGGATCATATCAATTCAATTCTGGGTTTTCAATTAAAAAAAGGCAATTTTTAGCCAAGAAAAAAGAAATTTGGTTGTATGAATCCTGTGTTTTCAACTAAGAAAAGGGGTTTTTCAAGTTAATAAAGGTAATTTTTGACTAAAGAAAGAGAAATTAGTCCATATCAATCATGGATTTTCAACTATAAAAAGTTAATGTTATATTAACAGGAGAGAAATTTTAGATAACTGATATCAATCATGGGTTTCTAATGCTAGTTAAATGATCGAATAGGGCATGACCAAAATGGAAGACGAAGACAGACTCATATAGCTAATCCCAAATGATTGGGACATAAGACGTTATTTCAATCATGGGTTTGCAACTAAATATTGATTTTTTGCTATAAACAAAAAAACATTTTCTGTTATTATCGCCTGTTGACTCCATTTTCCTCAGTGCTTTGTTTAATAGCTTGTACGGTTTCATTTACATAATTTGTTGTAGTTTTGAATCACTCCTATGCTTCTTGTTTCAACTCGGTAGTTGACTAGCTGTTTAGTGATTCCAATGAAGCTTAGTACCTAGTCCATCATAATGCAGATAAACATCTTATTGGATGAAGTTTTGGTTATTTTGATTTCTTTGTTGTTATACATGCTTTTTCCTAATGTTGTCATGGAATCTGATATTGTTTTCATGTTGCGTGATAATTTTCTTGCTATATTCGTGAGCTGACAGGTGAGAGATATCATTCAGACAAAGCTGTCCATTGAAGGAGAAAGGAGTGTTGTTGAAGAATTGAGATTCAGTTGAACCCACAATAGATTAGCTTACAATGTCGGATAGAATTAGTGACTTGCCCTGGGATATATTAGACAATATCCTAGGGCACCTACCTATTAAAGATGCCGTAAGGACTAGCATATTGTCCAGAAAATGGAGATATAAATGGGTTGATCTTTCCAAGGTTGTAGTTGATAATAGATGTGGGGTGCCTTACTTCGAGGATACAGATAATGATTGGCTCAATTGGGATCATCTTGCTAAAGTTGTATATAAAGTTTTGTTAGCTCATCGTGGTCAGATTGATAAGTTCGTGCTTTCCACTCAATGCGTTGTTCATTCCTCCGACTTGGATTGTTGGATTGCTTTTCTATGCAGAAATGGTGTGAAGGAGCTAATTCTTGATTCCAATCGAGGGATCGAGTATAAGCTGCCTTCTTGTTTATTTTCTTGTCAGCAACTGAGTTGTTTGCGCCTCACCAAATGCTCATTCGTAACACCACTTGAACTCAATGGCTTTAGCAATCTTGTTAGCCTCCAGATGGAAAGCTGTATAGTCCAGAAAGAAGTACTAGAAAATTTGATTAGTAGCTGCCCAATTCTTGAGACCTTAAAACTTTTCTGTTCCTGTGACTTTGACCATCTTAATATCAGGGCACCAAATCTTAAATCCTTATGTATATCAAGCAATTTCATGAGCATCTACCTAGAAAATTGTGTGCATCTTACAGAGCTCTGCTTATATATGTCCGGAAACTTCAACATGCCTCTTGATACAGTGCCGCTTCTTGGTTTTGTATCTCATTTGGAGAGGCTGGATTTGTATGGTCATCTTCTCAATGTAAGTGAAATTGACTTTCATGAGTGTTTTTTGTTAGATTTCCAAAGTTATTTACTTATTTTTGAATCCCAAGATATAGTAGAATTAGTTTTCTGATAACACAGAAGGAGAGAAGCTTGACAATTTACAAAATTCCCTTCCAATACCAAATATTTGTTGATTCATAATCTATTCTTCTGCTTTCTTGACAAGGAAATAGTACTGTAGCCACTTTTAGTTACAAACCATCTTATTTTTGTGCTCCTTTTTGTGCATTTGGTCCTTACTTTTGCCTCTAAAACAGGGTTTTCCGGTTGCATGTGACAATCTAAAGTTTCTTGAACTTAGCGAGATCTATTTTGGAGATTTGGATGCGATCTCAGTTTTTCTTTCCCTTCTAGGAAGAAGCTCCTCAAATTTGAAGGCATTGTGCATTTCAGTAAGTTTCCGCAATGTTTTCTCATCCACATGTTATAGTTCAAAATTTCACCTTTTTTTTTTAGTGTATGAGCTTGAATTCTCGTAAGGTGAAAACGGGTATTACTGGCTTCTTTAGGCTATTGGAGTATTTCAGCAAGATGTTTATGAGTTGATGACTGCACAAAACCAATTATCCTACTGCTTCAACCAACTACAAACTGTGAAAATCTCTGTTCGTTGCCATGAGGAAGATGATATCCGATGCTGGAAATCTGAATTGGAATTGATCAGGCTAGTGCTTGCACGTTCGCCTGTACTTGAGAAAATGCTTGTTGAGTATAAGGATCAGGAGGATTGTGACAGATGGCTTATGAGAGAGCTGCTCTCATTCGAGCGAGCATCAGCAAAACTACTCTTCCAATATTCATCCATTCCTCGACCTTTCTACCCTGATGAATGGTAATGCGTATTCTGCTATATAATCCTATAGAACGATCATAAGTCCGTTTATGTTTTATGCTTCGTAATTATGAATAACTAAGGGTTCGTTTGAGAACGTTTTTATTTTTATATTTTCAAAAAGAGGAAAAACATAATTTTTTTTTTTTAATTTTTTCTATGGAAAAAAACTGAGAACAAAAAATATGTTTGGGTAATCACTTATGTTTTAACAAATTATGAAAAAAAAAACAAAAAACACATTTAACTTTATATGATATTTATTGACGGTAAACACAAGGGTTGATAAAAATCAAAATTAACTTTAAATGAAATAATAAAAACAAAAAATATGATTGCTTGTTATTTAATAGGAAACATGACATTTAATAGAGTACAATAGCAAAACATGATTCATGTAGTTAGTGGCAGAGTCAAAAATATGTTTTAGCACACTCTAACTATAATTTTATTTTGTCCTCTAATAGATAAAAATAACGAGATATATTTTTATTTTTTACATTATATTTAATATTTAAAGATTGATTAAACATATATGGACTAAAAAGAGGTTAATTATAACTCTTTACAAAAAATGTGGTTAATTATATAAGAGATGTGATTAAAATATCAATGTTAAAGTTACAATTGGTAATAGCTATACCAAAGTTTGAAGGCTGCCGCATGTGACGGTTCATTGATTGGTAGTTCTTTGTTTGCTATACTACTTTTGAGGAGAACTTGAGAATGGAGTGAGTCATGACTTTTTTTTTTATTCAATTTTATTTTAGTGTTCGCTTCAAGAGATTCTATAACTTTTTATATTTTTATTACAGTCCATTAATCAAGAGATTTATTCTCCCAATAGACTCAAGTTTGTTTATTTAAACTCATCAGGGTGGGCATAATTGAAGATATTAAGAAAAATACACAAAATATACATAGGTAAAAAAAAATAATAAAAATAAAGGTGGGCCCGGACCTCCCCTGGTCCTAATTTGCCTCTGCCACATAACCCTTCTGATTCCAGAGGCCTGTTGTACAGCCTGCCTGTTTGTAGGACTGGTAATCAAGTCAAGCTTAAACATTTTTTAAAGTTTATTTATGTGTAAATAGTTAAACGAGTCAACTCGTTTATGTGTAAATTTTGTTCGATTTAGGGTTGCAAACAGCTCGATTATCAGCCCTACTTGGCTGACTGTTTCATATTGCTTTGTTTTTCAATTGTAACTTAGATTGCAAAAAAATTTGAGAAGTGCTTCATTTCTTGGTTTTTTTTCACTGTGATTCATATGGGCATAGTCAGTGATTTGAGCAGAGGGTCCTACACATTAATATTTTTTTCCCAAAAAATATTGCATCACATATTTTTATCACATGTTCATTTAATATTTGATTAATTTATAGTTTACCACAATTTTTATTTCGGACGATATCTATACATGATAGTGTCCGGTTACGTGTTTTGAAAAATTTTGTCAATATTTTAAAAAAAATAATAGATAAAAATAAATTTTAAATAATGCAATTAAAAAATAAAGAAAAAATATTATTTAATATAGTATGATTGATTTTTTAGACACGATAGACATTCGGCACAGATGATATTTAGTGTACTACCTAGCGTCTCACTCCTTTCTTTCACACAATCGAATGTTAGAACTCATCAACCTTTGACTAGTGCATCTTCTTGCTCGAGAAAATATTCATTACAACGGAAATATCACGTGACAAGGTGATGTGGTGTCATTAACTTGTTCTCCTATTATTCCTGTGAGTCTCAACTATTGACAAAAAAAAGCCCACGAATGGTCCGAAGCCCTAGTGGCCCACCCAAGTGTCTCATCTAACATGGATAGATGATGAGTGACAATTTTTGGCCCATTGGGCTCAATGGGTTCATCCAATTACCACCCATGAGGCCAATTAGCCTCCAGTTGGTTAACATTAAACACATCAATTCTAACACAACAAGAATTTAACACAAAACACAATCGAAAATAACATGAATCAAATCTGAAAACAAATTTAAGATTATACAATGCAAATTTGACACTTTGCGCCTCAATTGTGACTCTAAATAACATAAGATCTTATGGATACAAATAATTTAAAAAAGAGAGAACTAGCCTTTTTAAAATGTACCCAATTGATTTTTTTTTTTTGGTTATAGGATATTTAAATTTGCGCTGATTATTCTTTTGAACTCGAATAATGACTACTGTAACCTAATCAGATTTATAACATGCTCACGAGGGAGTTATGACACTCTTGTGTGCTGAAAATTAGCTTATAACCGAAGAAAGAAATTACCCCTTTATAAATCCAGGCCACCAAAACTTTTCCTTTCGAATTTTCCAAATTACTTTCTTCTCACTAGTTTGAAGTGGAAAAAATATTTTCTTTATAAAATTTTAAAAAAGCGAAAAAATAAAAAATATTAACACAAGGTTTTATCTAATTCACATTTTAATTGTATCACAACACCGATATACCTTGTCAATAAAGTCCTACTAATTCTACTATCTACACTCGTTCGATAAGTTACATTTGATAAATTATTTACTTCACGGATCATAATTATTCGCTTACTTATCACTTTATTAGTTTCAAAATATCACATAAAATCAAATATGTATATTTTTTTTGTTCTTCTCAGCTTTGACTTTTTCTTCTGCTTCTTTTTTTTTTTCCCTGTGGCTCTCTGAGTTTTTTTATTTGGAAACCTTGGGTTTACTTAGTTGTCCTAGCTCGTTGATCCGATGTTTCTGCGACAGATTTGATTACGGTATCCCAAAAAAAAAAAATTAGTACAGTACTTCCAATTTTTATTATTTTAATAGATGTTTTAATAATTTTTGTGGCTCATTTTAGAATAAAAAAATTTATCACTTTTATAGGTGATTTACCATTTTTGTGAGTATTTTTATCACTGTTGTGAATACAAAACCCCAAAGAAATATTGACCAAAGCAAGTAAACGAATTTTAGAGGCTAGAACAAGAAAGACTTAACCTGTCTAAATATACCACCAACCATTCAAAGATGATGAAAAATGTATGATTTAATTATGGCAATGAAAATGAGCAATGCCATGTAACATTGAAATTTACAATTACTATATATACATGCTGAATGACCCGCATGTAATATTTAGCAAGGTGAAGATTTTCCAAGAACAAATTCTAATTTCTTAGTGAAGATTTGTTGTTAATGATTGAAGCTCCAAGTGAGAAAAAACATTAATATAACATTAGATATATTATAATAGACAAGAAAGTTTTACGAGGCATTAAAGAGTTATAAACTTTTTTTTGCAAGTCAATTCATAGGCTTTTGTAAGAGATGCTTGTACATAGGTCTCCACATGGGGAATGCCTCCTCTTTTTTACATGTTTTTGACATAAACATGAATTTTTTTTTGTTGGTGAAACAAAGATAACAAAAGACTAATAATGATAGAGATAAATCAATTAAACACCCTTTAACTCCATTTCTTTAACATTTTGAAAAAGAAACCAGAGTTTTTATGGAATGCTTGTTATGAGAAAATTTTCTTAGAGATGTATTGTGCAAGATGCTGCTCATCTTTCACTTCCAATAAAATTTATCTCCCCGACCACTGGCACCGTCTCTTGATAGTGGTTGGTGGGCCGCAATTTTGAAGACGTTCAGATTGCCTTTGGATTTATGTTTTTGGACTGTAATGCTTTGTTCCTTAAAGATTAGCTAACAGTTTATATGCATTTCAAATCCCGTCATTCACAACCAACAAAGTAATAATTGAATTTTCATGCGATTAATACAAAAAGATAAGTAAATCCAAAATGACTAACACGACAAGGCATGGAAGGTTAATTGACCATATGCAAATGCACATATACAAAAACTCCATCAAATATTTTTCATTGATTGTGAAAGAAGCATATGCATCCATTTCTTTCTTTGTCATTCTTGTACTTGTATTGAACTCCTTTGACAAAACCATTTTTCTCTACCAAAGATATAACTATTTCTTGTTCAAGTTGTAAACTAAACCAGAAATCAAGAAAGGTAAATGAATACAAATGTAAAATTTCATAGCAATGTTATCAAAAATCGGACCAGACATCAAACCGGTAGAGGGACTGGATTAATGGTTTACTGGTTCAACCGTTAAGTTAACTAGTCGAACCGATCGCATAATTAAAAAATTATAAATATAAAAATTTAACTAAAAATTTACGATCACAAAAAAAAAAAAAAAAAAAAATTTCAAAGTGTACTGTATATGTCTTTTACTCTTTCCTGTTAGAATTGAATGTGTGTGTATTAACTATTTAATTTATATTCAATTATTCAATATGATAATGTGTGTGTGTGCACGTGTAGAGAGAGAGAGGGACTGAGGGAGAAAGAAACAAAAAGCAGACCCAGCAATGTGAGAGAAAAAATAAAGACCCAAGCCATCCTTTTTTCTTTCATTTTCGTGGGTATCACTGTGTCTACTGTCTGCGTGGAGAGAGAGAGAAAGAGAGGAGAAGAAGATGAATTGGGAGATCTAGATCTGTGGAAGTGGAAGGAGACGAAGTGGTGTGTGTTTTGTGTCTCTGATGTTCGATTCTTCGAGGTCTGTGTTCTGTGTCTCTTATGTTCGATTCTTCGAGGTCTGTGTTCTGTGTCTCTTATGTTCGATTCTTCGAGGTCTAGATCTATAGTGTTTGATTCTTAGAGATGTAGATCTGTTGTCTCGGAGATCTAATTCGTCATGTTCGACGGAGAAGACAAAGTGGAAGGAGACGGAGAAGAAGAAGGGCTGCCGGTTGGTTTTAGGCTTTGAACCGGCCGATTTTGTCCAAAACCGGCCGGTTTTTCAGTTTTTCAATGGTTCGATTTCTTATGCGATCTAACTAAAGAATCGGACCGCTTGAAGTCCCAGTTCATGGTTCTGACCGGTCCGGTTCTGTTATCAAATAGCATTTACATGACAGTCTCTCACCCTCCTCAACTTTCTCAGAAACCTACTTTGACTAAACTCCTAAACCCTTTCAAACTCTCAATTGCTCTTACATACTTTTCTTCATCCAGTATTAGATTTCTATAACGCTACCTTATTTAATAACAATAAATTGATCTCATCAAATTAAACCATTTCATATGGGTTATGTAATTATTCTTAAAAAATTATTTTAAATTTTAATTTTTTATACTCTTTAATTTAGCACAATAATAAGTAATTTTTCTATTAAACTCGGGTCAGAGTCAGGGTGGGCGTGGGGTGGACGGTGATAATCGGAGTGGTAAAATTATGACGAGAGATTAAAAGTATCATAGGCCATGACTAGTTTAATATCTACAGTTGAATGAAAGATTTGTTTAAGGATTAGAGTGCTTATCAAGTTTAGTATATATAATGACTAGTATTTTTTCGTTTTTGGTACATCAGAAAGTTAAAACAAACTAAATACAGTTCCTGGGAAAAGCTACACTAGCTAGGTCATTCAACATAAATTTCGCCAATTGGGGAGGGGGAGCATTAAGCTCAACAAAATGTTCCAATTGCTGGACTCCAAGGTTAGCCAATACATCTGTACATTGGTTGCCTTCTCTGAGATAATGAACAATGGAGATGTGGTTAGCTCCATTAACCTTATGCAGTAAGTAATCATGGCTCTGTTCGGATGAGTAGCCTCCGGATTCATGGACAAAAGTTTGGCTGCTTCGAGCGAATCAGTTTCCACAATGACGTGTGATATTCCTCTTCTGAATAAGCTCCAATCCCTTGGAAATTACCCATAACTCAGCTTGTAAGCTCATAGTATCATCAATTTTCCCATAGAAGCCAACAATCCATTTACCTTGATCATTTCTAATAATACCTCCCACTCCTGCTGGACCAGGATTACCTTTGCAGCATTCGTTCGTGTTCAGTTTGTTCCATCCTGTTGGGAGAAAGACCATGCAATTAGTCTGGGAGATGCATTAAAAGGATCAACACCAACATTCTGAAAGGCTTTGACTGTATCCAAAGCAAAAAGCCACACTTCCCTAGCAACAATTCTTTGTGAGGTTGAAATTTTTGAAATACTTTCCCTGTTCCTTTCCATCTACCCCATGAAATACATGCACACATAACAGGCTAATTAATTCCTTTCTACACCTTGATCTTTCTGATTTTAAAATTCAGATTGATCCAATCCTGTAACCCTTCCAGCTGGACAGTTTCCTCTCCTTGGGACAGGTTAAAAAATATCCAAACTCTTTGCGCTTTTGGACAAGCAAAGATAACATGCAATGAGGTTTCATCAAAGTGTTGGCATCTAACGCAAGTAGCATCATTTACCATGTTCCTTGAGGCTCTAAGATTATTAGTGAGGATTCTATCATGTTGAATAAGCCACATAAACTGTTTTGGGGGAGACTCATTTTCCAGATCCAATTCCAGTTGAGAGAAGGGGGACTGCTTGGATTGGACCTAGAGAGGGCTCAAAGGCTGCCTTTGTTGCAAGAAAGGCCCCAACAAATGGTATCCTGAAACTCAGCAAATAATGGACAGGGAGTGTGTAAAATATCAAGCAAGGTGGAGTGGGAGAGAAGAATACCTGCCTCTCGGAGATTCCAGTTACCTTTATTGTTAATGAAGTCGGCCACCTTTTTGTTGAGATTCAATTGACCTGTATGAGTAATGTACTGCACTTGAGGGCCATCTCCCCACCACCAATCAGTCCAGAAATTAATATGTTTACCTTCGCCTATCAGCCATTTAGAAACTAGATCCACTAAGTTTTTAGTTTTTCCAACTGCTCTCCAAGTTGGTGAGCTAGCGGGCTTAAACTTCTAGTTAAAATACTCCTGATCAACATATTTGTTATTGACCACTTCAACCCAGAGGACTTTATCTTTGTTCTTCACTTTCCAGCCCAATTTAGATAACAGGGCCAAGCTATTATCCCTACTTTTTCTTAATCCCAGGCGCCCTTGATTACCAGGGGAGCACACCCTGTTCCAATTCATAAAGTGAACATTTTTCTTTTCTGGTGTGTCACCCCCACAAAAAATTCCCATTAATTCTATCAATAATGACTAGTATTGACCCCGTGGTCATGTGTAAAATTGAAGAAACCCTCCATCCTCCCCTTTATTTTCTACCGACTCCATGGAAGCACCCAAGTGACCAGCCACCACCGATGACACCGCAGCCACCACTTTTCAGGCATCCCTCTCTCTCTCTCTCTCTCTCTCTCTCTGTGTTAAGTGTTAACCCCTCCCAACACACACATATACCCAGCATACATACAAAGACTACAACCAAAAAAATAGAGCAAAAGAGAGAAGGCAGAGAGGGAGAGAGAGAGAGAGAGAGAGAGAGAGTAAATCATACCAGCAAGAGAGACTTGGTTTGGGACTTTGGAAGTGATATGAAGCAGACGAAGTTGTGAACGACAGATTTACTGGATGTGGGATAAGGGGAGAGTTTTACGCCAGAGAGAGACCTATGTAGGTGGGAGTGGGGAATTTGAAATACAGGTGGTTACTGGATGTGGATAAGCGGGAATATTAATTTTGAATGTAGTAATTAATTAATTATGAAAAGTACACATGGCAACATTTGGTTGGTTGAGTAGTAATTAAATAATTATAAAAGAATAGAATTAAATAAAGGCAGCAGAAATGCAGGAGAGTGAATGTCAGCCACGGAATTTATTATTATTATTTTACTATCAAATCTTTCATTAATTTTTAAGTTTAATTTTTAAATTCATATAACATCATTCTTACCATAATATTTTTGAATAATTAATATTAGTATTAAAATGATATTCATTTATATTTTAAATAATAAAGAAAGATGATTGAAAGTTTAAATTTAAAAAAATGGTAAAAATGATTACAAATAACCCATGTAATGTTTTGATTGAAGTGAACTAATTAAATATTTTAAAATTGGGTTAATCTTATTTTATACCCTAAAAGATTGTTCAAATCTCAATTTATACCCCCAAAGATCAAAAATCTCAATTTACACCCTTAAAGATAGAAATTTATATCAATGTGCATCCCCAAAGATAAAAAATCTCAATTTGCACCCTCAAAGATAGAAATTTGTATCAATGTGCACCTAAAATTAAATTGATAAATTATACCTAGATCCCTTCATGTTTGTCACTTAATCATTTGAACTCCTTCGCATTTAGAATATTCCCCTTACATCTCATGACGTTTGTGCATGTGTAACACATAACCACTTTTCGTTGATATCTGTTAATATAATCATTAAAAATATGATTTTAACCTAATAAAAAATTATAATTTCATATTACCTTTTATTTTGTGGATTCGATATACTCTAAAGTTAAAAATCAAGCTTACCATTTGAATGTCTAATAAAATGTAGATATTTATATAAAAGGTAATATGAAAAACATTATATAAATATCTACATTTTATTAGACATTCAAATCTAGTTTACCATTTGAATGTCTAATAAAATGTAGATATTTATATAAAAGTAATATGAAAAACATTATATAAATATTTACATTTTATTAGACATTCAAATGGTAAACTAGATTTTGAACTTTAGAATATATTAAACCCATCAAATAAAGGGTAATATGAAATTATAATTTTTTATTAGGATAAAATTATATTTTTTAACGGTTATATTAATAGATATCAATGAAAATGGGTTACGTGTTATACGTGCACAAATGTCATAAAATATAGGAGTAATATTCTAAATATGAAGAGGTCTAAATGATTAAGTGACAAGTATGAGGGGATCTAGGTATAATTTATCAATTTAGTTTTTAGGTGCACATTGATACAAATTTCTATCTTTGAGGGTGTAAATTGAAATTTTTTATCTTTGGGGTGGACATTGATATAAATTTCTATCTTTGAGGGTGTAAATTGAGATTTTTGATCTTTGAGGGTGCACATTGATACAAATTTCTATCTTTGAGGGTATAAATTGAGATTTTTGATCTTTGAGGGCGCAAATTGAGATTCGAACAATCTTACGGGGTGTAAAATGAGATTAACCCTTTAAAATTTTAATATCTCAAAGATTTTTATTCTTAATTTGATTGTTTTAATATTTAGTAAGATAAGATTGAATAAATTACAGTTTAACTCTTTTAATTATAGATTTAACTTTACTTTATCTTTTAAACTATTAAATTTTTTACATTATCTTCTCAATTATTTTAATTATTTTACATTGTTCCAAATGGTAATGTCTACCAACAAAAAGTACTAACATGTCAAGGCGAAGTGAAAAACATTACATACTTTGAAGATAAAATAAAATAACTTTCTCCAAAACTGTAACAAAACAATAAAAATTGAGATTATGTGAAATTAATCACATAGTTAGCGATACAATGTGAAAAATATAATAGTTGTGAGGCAATGTGGTAAAAATGTCAAAGTATAATTTTCCCTACCTGTTAGAAGTTGAAAATTTTTTTATAGTTGAGTGTGGTCACTCTTTCTTCTTGGTCGTCTCTTTGTGATCATTGCCCCCATCTCAGACTCCTCGGGGTTCATTACTTTGATTGTAAAGACAAATCGAACTTATTCCCAGCCTTCATCACAGGTGAGCAGGGTTTCATTTACATAATCATCTCTCATTGTTTGATTCAATACGCCTGGAGTTTTTTTTTTTGGGTTTTTTGATACTTTTAAGACGCATAATGAAATCCTAACTTGTCACTGTTTATCATTATAGTACACAATTTTTGCTTCTTAGCTGTTTGGCCTTATCAGGGATTTATTCTACCAGTGAAATCAACAACCAATTTTCATTTTAGTTCGAATTCAGGACTATGTTCAGAAATAATAATTCAAAAGTTGTCTACTTTGTTGTACCATGAAAGAATTCTTGTAAGAGGATCACTTTCAATCAAGAAATTTTAGGTGGCTTATATCAATACTTTGTTTTCAGATAAATGTGGGTAATTTTAAATTAAGAAAGTATAAATTTTAGGTGGCCCATATCAAATCCTGGGTTGTCAAATGAATATGCAATGATACATGATTAGATGATGCTTTAATAAGAAAAATAAATAAATAAATAACACTATTTTTTTTTTTTTTGTTCTCTTGGCTCCATGTTCCATCATCTATGATTGAGTTGAGAAAACTTACGGATAGTTATGCTACATCTGAACCGAAATTTTTTTGGTTAAAGAATCTATTTTTAGTTGGTCTAAGCACAATTAAGAGAGAAATACGAGATTATGCTTCTGGTAGCAACATGCTATTGGGTGGTGGTCCTACTTATGGGGGAATCACTTCGAAGTAAGCCTGATATATTTCAGTTCTTCCTGTTTTACTTGTTTTTTGTTTAGTGATTCCAATGAAGTTCGGCATATCTAGTATGCAGTCCACCATAATGTAGATAAAAATCTTATTTTATAAAATTTTGGTTGTCTTCATTCCTTCTTCTTCTGCATGCTTTTTCTGATGTTATCCTAGGATTTGACTTTGTTTTCCCTGTTGCGCAATATTTTCTTGTCATATTCTGGAGCTGACAGGTGAGAGATATCATCCAGTTGAAGTGGTGGATTGAAGAGAAAGCTAGGATTGAGATTTTGCTGAACCCACAATGGACAACCTTAGAATGTTGGATAGACTTAGTGACCTGCCCTGGGATATATTAGACAATATTCTAGGGCACCTACCAATTAAAGATGCCGTGAAGACAAGCGTCTTTTCCAGAAAATGGAGATATAAATGGTTTGATCTTTCCAAGCTTGTAGTTGATGATAGTTGTGGGGTGACTACTTCCATGAATGTAGATAAGGAATGGAATCAGCTTGCTAAACTTGTATATAATGTTTTGTTAGCTCATCGTGGCCAGATTGATAAGTTTATACTTGCCACTCTTTTGAGTGGCCAAGGCAAGGATTTGGATTATTGGATTGCTTTTCTATGCAGAAATGGTATCAAGAAACTCATTCTTGATTTGGGTTACATGTGTTCCATGTACGAGTATAAGCTGCCTTCCAGTTTATTTTCTTGTCAACAACTGAGTTGCTTGTACATCATGCATTGCTCAGTTGTAACGCCACACACATTCAATGGGTTTAGCAATCTTGTTAGCCTCCAGATGCAAAGCTGTACAGTCCTCAATGGAGTGCTTGAAAATTTGATTAGTAGCTGCCCAATTCTTGAGACATTAGTACTTTCAGATGTTGATGACTTTGGCCTTTCAGATGTTGGTGACTTTGGCTCTCTTAATATCTATGCTCCAAATCTTAAATCCTTGCACGTTGATGGCAAATTCATGAGCGTCCATCTGGAACATAGCCTGTTGGGATTTCACACGATTTAAATTCACTAACAAACACACACAATCGAAGAACAAATCAAGAATATAAAGCAATAAGAAACAAAAAGAACAAGACACAGATTTTACGTGGTTCGGCAATTTGCCTACGTCCACGAAGCTGCAGGGATTTCACTATTGAGAGAGTTGAATACAGAGAGCGGTTGTACAATTCACGATTGACCCTAATCACCAAAACAACAGGGTTTATATGTCCTACGCACTGAGCTGTATAACGGGCCCAAAAATTTTTTCCTCGGGGGCGTTGCCCCCAAACCCCCACGAGGCTTGTCCATGAGCGCTACGGCTTGGGCCTATCAGCCCAAGCCTTCGCTCCATGAACTAAGCCTCAGAAAAATTCCCATTAAAAACCACACAATATTACTTCGGGTCGAGTCATCATCCGGATCACATATACAAACTAGACTCCATGAAAAAAAACCAACATAGCCTTCATCTTACAGAACTCTCCTTAAAAGATGGCTAAAAACTGGAACATGGCTCATGATACAGTGCCGTTTCTTGGTTTTGTATCTCATTTGAAGAGGCTGAGTTTGTGTGGTCATCTTTTCAGGGTAAGTGAAATCGACTTTCATCAGTGTTTTTTGGTTGATTTCCATAGTTATTTTACTTATTTTGAATACCAAGATATAGTAATAGTAGAATTAGTTTTCTGATAACACAGAAGGAGAGAAGCTTGACAATCTCTAAAAATCCCTTCCAATGCCAAATATTTGTTGATCCATAATCTATTTTTCTGCTTTCTTGACAACCAAATAGTACTGCAGCCACCTTAGTTCCAAACCATCCTACTTTTGTGCCCCTTTTTATGCATTTGATCCTATTTTTCAGCACAGGGATTTCCCGTTGGATGTGACAATCTGAAGGTTCTTGAACTGTCAGAAGTCCATTTTGATGAATTGGATGAGATCTTGGTTTTTCTTTCCCTTCTTAGAAACTCCTCAAATTTGAAGTCATTGAGCCTTTCAGTAAGTTTCCGCACTGTTTTCTCATACATTTTTTTTCTTTCAATATTTCACCTTTTTTTACTGGCTTGTTTAGGCTTCTGGACCATTTCAGCAAGATGTTTGTTAGTTAATGACTACACAAAACCAATTATCCTACTGCTTCAACCAGCTGCAAATTGTGAAAATAAACATCTCAGTCTGTCGCCCAGGGGAAGAAGAACTCCAATGCTGGAGATCGGATTTGGAATTTATCAAACTTGTTCTTGCATGTTCGCCAGTACTTGAGAAAATGCTTGTAGACTATAAGCATCCAGAGGATTGTGATTTATGGTTTATGAGAAAGCTGCCCTCATTCAAACGAGCCTCAGCACAATTAATATTCAAATATACATCCTCTCCCAATCCAGAAATTTCTTAGCCTCCTCACTACAAATACCATGGATGGTAATACTGACCTCTATGCTTGTTGTCATACTTTGTTTTCATAAGGTTTCTTCGGTAGCATCCTCTGGCTCTAGAGGCCTGTCATGCAGCCTAGTCTTATAGTTTCATCATGTTTTTTTTATCAGAATTTAAATTGCACAAATTTTTTTCTGGAAAGTAACATTTCAATTATCGTAAGTTGTTAATTTCTTTTTCTTTTTTCTCGCTTTGAATCATATTGACTGTGTCAATGTGAGTGTCGGTGAGCAGAGGTCCTAAACATTATTAGTCTACACTAAGCATTTTTGATAGATTGCCCCTTTTATTGCACCTATAGCCTACTCAAAATTGTCTCAGATAAGGTTCCTTATATTTTTACATGCATGGTAACCAATAATGATATTCGATACATCTTTGAGGATGTAGGGACTGATGTGGTAAACCAAGGGATGACACTTTATTATCTGGGAAATGAGCTAAATGAATTGGAAAGAGCGATGCATACGGAGGAGAAATTGCTGTTCTAGTATTAATCGAAACAGTCATGAATTTGGAATAACATAGAATTACTGTAATATGTGGATATGCAGGTTGAGTATTGCTAGAAAAGTATAGTGATGGGACTCTTCTGAAAAGCCCTATGATGAAGACACGTGTCCTCGGGGTTTCTAGAACAATGTTGCTCGGATTCAAGCACCATCGGCAAAAGGCGTCCTCTCCCCCGAGGCACCTCTCATATAGGATCACATATTCGGTGCATTATACAACGACACGTGTCCTCGGTCGTGTGTATACCTCGGAAACACACCACCCCTCGGTCCCCGAGGTGAGTCTTTCCTCGGTGCCGAGGGTCACTCTATCCTGGACGCTTCCTCTACTCCCGGATAACGCTACTGACGTACGGGACATCAGCCTATGCCAGTCTAGACTATTCATCATAACCTCGTCTTAGCACAAGTAATGTCAGAACACGCTGGAATACCGACGTCACAGCCAATAAGGGATGGACGCGTGGCAAATAATGTCACATCAGAAGCAGACAGACGCCTGCCGTCGCTGACACGCGACTTGGGAAAGCAAACAAATTAATTGCACCCTTCTGTTGACGAGACCGCATTCAATGCGGTAAGGTTCGGATATGAAAGGCAATAAATGCTCCTATTACAGAGCATTTATTGCATCCTTCCCGAAAGGATCATATTGTACCGTCGGCGTCCCGACGGCTCATAATTGATTGCTCGGGATCCCGAGCAATCAATTAGAGAAGACATTCCTCATCAAATCAATACACACGCTACCTGTGCCTGATGATCACCTACTGACCACACTGACAGCAATCATGAGCTTCTAAGGTATAAATACTCCTCCCAAAAGGCAAAGCCGGTATGCAATCACAAACTCACTACTATAAAATATCCTCATCAGTGTTTTCTCCTTCCTCTCTCTCATTCAAAGACTGACTAGACCGTCGGAGGGGATACGCCGGAAAACACTCCGGCGCCCTTCTAACTTGTTCTCCTTTGTTCCAGGAAATACCTTTCCCAAGTACAGGATCGTTCTTCCTTTCCCAGGATCTTCCTTTGCCGTTCCAGGTTGCCACCGTTCCTTGTAGGCTGTTTCAAGCAGTGTGTTTGGCCACTCAACCGGCTCACTCAAAGTTCACCAGGGGAGAGAGCTGTTCCCAATATTTTTTATATTGTGCAGGATCTTGCACGCACAATCTGGCGCCGTCTGTGGGAAACGAGTAGTTTTCCTAATCTTTTCTCTATAAAGAACAGTGACCATGGTGAACACCAGACAGAAAGGGAAGGGACCCTACCAAAGGAGTCATGAGTTGCAAGCTCCCTGCCATCACGGGGGGAGGGATCGGACCAGTACGATTAAAAGTGCCTCTACTCGGTCAAGGGGGGTAACCCCCAAACCAGTATGGGGATCAGGTCAGGAGGATCAGCCCCCTTGGCCCGTCAGCTGGCAGAGGTGATAGAAGAGAAATTTGGCGATAGATTACGTCAGCTGGAGAAAGACAATGTAAACGTCCTTAGCCGGCTCGACGAGTTTGCTGCCTCAGGCGGAGGGTCGAGGGATTCATTCCTCTCCCGAGGACTCCCCGTCCATGAGGCGGAGACAAAGGATCTAAGGAACCACCTGGATCACAAAGCAGAAAGCTCCAGGGCCCCGAAGCGACCCAAAGCCGGCGAATGCCATCTTGACAACCATTCCAGGAAAGCAAGGCCATTGGCCCTGGACGACCTCCGGCGAGGTTTATCCAGACGGAGGAAGGGAGATGAATCCGAGGAGGACTCAACCCAATCTACACGACGCCCAGGAAACGAGGGGCTTACCGACGAACCCAGAGACTTCAGGAGGCATCCCGTAAGGGAAGAAGTAGATCTCAGAGCCCGATTGGACTCCAGAAGAAAGGGTAAGACGATCCAGGACGAGGCCGAGGACGAAGTCATGCAAACACCCTTCACGAGGGAAATCAGTGAGATGGATGTCTCAAGAAAGTTCGTCGTGCCACGGTTCAAGACCTATGATGGGCGATCTGATCCCGATGCCCATATCAGACAATATAAGCAGATGATGTCCCTCTATCATTCGGACCAACGGTTTCTATGCCGGGTGTTCCCTATGAGCTTGGGGGACTCTGCGATGAGGTGGTTCGAGGCGCTTCCCCCAAACAGTATTGGGTCCTGGAAAGAATTGACGAGGCAGTTCCTAACCCGATTCATCACGGGGAGTAAGCGCCCCAAGGACATTGGATCACTGCTGACCCTCAGGAGGAGGGAATCCGAGACTCTTCGCCAGTACGCCATCCGATACTGGGAAGAAGTCAATGAGGTCGAGGGATGCTCGGAGGTCATGGCAGCAGCATCATTCCGGCTCGGCTTGGCGAGGGACACGGACCTGTACCGATCCCTGACCAAAAAGACTCCCTCGGATATGGGGGAACTGATGGCCCGGATCAACAAGTACTCAAGGGTCGAGGACGAGATGGGGAGCAACAAAGGCCGAGCCCTCCAACCCAAGAGAAAGGAAAAAGAGCACGAAGATATTCCCCGGAAGGGATTGCTACCCCGTCCAGGGGGTTCGTCCAGAGGAGTTCACACCGTCTTCAAGGAACCCATCTTCAGGTTGCTCCATAAAATCAAACACGACCGTTCTTCAAATGGCCGCCCAGGATGCAAAGCGACCCCTCCACCCGTGATCAAAAAGTAAGGTGTTCATATCACCGGGACGTCGGGCATCGCACCGAGAGCTGCAGGGTGTTCAAGTCATTCTTGGAGAGCTTAGTCCGAGATGGATACCTGAAAGAATACATAGAGCCTAGGCCAGAAGAGAAACGAGCCCTTGCCCCGACCGAGGAACCGAACAACGTCATAGACGTCATCCATGTGTGTCCACTGGAGCGCCCCACGTCCAAAGAGCTCGAATCCGACCTCAAGAGGGTAGCTTTTACCAGAAAGGTAGCCGAAGGAGATGTGGGGCCATCAAGTAAAAGGGCCAGGATGGGTGAGCTTGGCATTACGTTCTCTGACGCGGATTTGACAGGCGTGGTGATTCCTCATAACGACGCCCTTGTCTTAACCCTAAAGATAGGGAAATTCGATGTCAAGAGAATCTTGATAGATTCAGGGAGCTCCTCGGAGGTGATGTACTTCGAGACTTTGAAGCGGATGGGCTTTGGCCCCAAAGACTTAACCAAAATCAGGACACCCCTCATCGGGTTCAACGGCTCTTTCGCCTTGCCCGTGGGGAAAATTACATTACCGGTCGCCACTGGTCCCTTCGTCATCGACACAGAGTTTGTGGTGATCGACACGGACTCTCCTTACAACGTGATTATGGGGCGAACATGGCTGCACGCGTTGGGAGCGGTGCACTCCACTCTCCACCAGAAGTTGAAGTTCGCCACGCCAGAGGGCGTCATGGAGATTCGGGGGATCAAGCGTCTGCGAAGAACTGTTTTTATTCGGCCGTCCGAGCCGGGCGTCCAGCCAGGAGAAGGGGCGAGCACCGGAAGAGATCATAGAAAAATAGCAATTACAGTCCGGGCGTCCGGGGATGGATGACCCCCGGGTGGACCCAGCGGAACGATCGGTTGAAGACCTCCGGAAGGTGCCCTTGGTTGAAGGAGAAGAAGAGAAGTATTTCCTAGTTGGGACCTCGATGCCCGCAGCCGAACAGGAGGAGATGATCAGGTTCTTAAGAGGGAATACAGACGTGTTCGCCTGGAACGAAATGGAAATGACAGGAGTAGACCCCGAGATATTACTCACAGGCTGCATGTTGACCCATCTCACAAGCCAGTAAAGCAGAGGCCACGACGTATGGCCCCGCATCACACCAACGCGGTCAATGAGGAAATAGACAAACTCCTAAGAGCCGACGCCATTCGAGAGATACAGTTCCCAGAATGGCTGTCCAATACAGTATGTGCAAAAAGAAAGGGGGGAAATGGCGTGTCTGCGTGGATTTCACAGATCTAAACAAGGCATGTCCCAAGGACGACTACCCCCTGCCGAAGGTGGACCAGCTGGTAGATGCCACAGCCGGATATGAACGAATGGACTTCCTGGATGCTCGAGCAGGATATCATCAGATCCCTCTTTATGCCCCGGACCAAGAAAAAACGGCGTTTATCACTCCGAAGGGAGTTTATTGTTATAAAGTGATGCCATTTGGATTGAAGAA